GACAAAACCACAGTATATGTATTTTTGCAGCTAGCATTTTAAAAATTCAATTACACATGCATGGGAAAATCGGCTACGTACTTACTCTTATTATTGAAAAATTGTACACCAAATAAAAATTATTCGGAGCCTTAATTATATACTCTACTATATCTTAGGCTTTATTGAATTTATTGGAGATTTGTATGCAATGTAAATACTTAGTATTATTAATTATATACTCTACTATATCTTAAGCTTTGTTGAGTTTATTGGAGATTTGTATGCAATGTAAATACTTAGTATTATTAATTATATACTCTACTATATCTTAAGCTTTGTTGAGTTTATTGGAGATTTGTATGCAATGTAAATACTTAGTATTATTAATTATATACTCTACTATATCTTAAGCTTTGTTGAGTTTATTGGAGATTTGTATGCAATGTAAATACTTAGTATTATTAATTATATACTCTACTATATCTTAGGCTTTATTGAATTTATTGGAGATTTGTATGCAATGTAAATACTTAGTATTATTAATTATATACTCTACTATATCTTAAGCTTTGTTGAGTTTATTGTAGATTTGTATGCAAAGTAAATACTTAGTATTATTAATTATATACTCTACTATATCTTAGGCTTTGTTGAATTTATTGGAGATTTGTATGCAAAGTAAATACTTAGTACTATTAATTATATATAGTCTACTATGTTTTAGGCTTTATTGAATTTATTGGAGATTTGTATGCAATGTAAATACTTAGTATTATTAATTATATACTCTACTATATCTTAAGCTTTGTTGAGTTTATTGGAGATTTGTATGCAATGTAAATACTTAGTATTATTAATTATATACTCTACTATATCTTAAGCTTTGTTGAGTTTATTGTAGATTTGTATGCAAAGTAAATACTTAGTATTATTATTATTAATTATATACTCTACTATATCTTAGGCTTTGTTGAATTTATTGGAGATTTGTATGCAAAGTAAATACTTAGTATTATTAATTATATATAGTCTACTATGTTTTAGGCTTTATTGAATTTATTGGAGATTTGTATGCAAAGTAAATACTAAGTAACGGCGTGCTTGGCTTATTATTATTATTATTTCCCGTGACGTAGCGACGAGCTTTTTATGGCAATCATTGAATTGGGTAATAACGTACTTACGGTTCATGCTCTCACACAGCCAAGACCTGAACTGATAGCTGAGCGGAGTGAGCGGAACAAAAGAGCACTGAACGAAGGCACGTACACGTACATAGGTGCGTTCCTCGAAAGCTCTCCTCAGCAGTTAAGCTCTGCTGTTCGATCAAGCATGCTTGCTTTTTTGCAGCGCGCTGAGCTGCTGATTAATGGGCAGCAATAGAAAATCCTGCGCTGCGAGGGACTTTTAAATGAAATTGCGCTAAAACCAATTTAGTGGAATAACAAAAAAATGAATATTACAATTCGAACAAAGCAAATAAAATTTAGGAGGGGAAAAATTGAAAACCAATAAAAGAAAAGCGAAGAGTGAATGCTAAAATGTAACCTTTGGTAACACACTGCCTGTCATTTATGGTAACACTAATGGATGTTGTGCCAAATATTCGATACAACTTAACGATACGGTTCCCTCTCTACATAAACCGACTTTACAGTGGTCGCAGCTTGGATTAAAATATCAAAAGATAAAGCTGTGAAGTAATGTACGAGTATGCTTAAATTATTAAACAACTCGAACAACAAATACAAGAAACAATATAAAATAGATCCAATTATAGAATTATGGGTCATGCCAGCCACTGTACTGATAATGCCCAAGAAAAGTATCTGTCATGCTCACAGCGAGTCTTTCCCACTGCAGCTATGTATTTGCTTTAAAAATTTAATTAATAATTTTTACTTGCCTGTATGCATAAATAAAGAGCTGATACAAACAGTTTCGCAAAAATAAAGTTTACTGTGCTATACAGTAACAGTAAGCTAAAAAGTCAGTTTGTATTAAGTTCACTCTCATGGCTTAATCACTTTAAAGTACATGGTTGAAGGGCTTTTGTTGATATCACAGCATAATTACGCCATAAAGCTTTGACGAAACAAAAGTTCACTTTTTACCTTTTTGTTTGCGCTTCCACTTTGCGCTGTCCTTTGACGCCCACAGCTTTCCGTCCCTATGTGCAACTCATTAAAAATGTTAAAAAGCAAGCCAAAAGCGAACGGGTAGGTGGAACAGTAAAAGAGTCATTGCAGTAACAAGCAACAACAACAACTGCGAATACGAATCCCCCAAAGCGAGTCAAGGTGAGTGCGAAGCACATCCCGAAATGTCCAAAGTTCCTTTCTCTTGCTTTCTTTGAGGCGAGTGGAGAGGGGCACGTCCCCCTTCTGTACCGTTCCGTCCCTTTGCCAATAAGTGTCAGTAGAAGCCAAAAGCCTAGGCCAGAGAAGACCATTGAGTTGAATGCATTTTCTTTTTCCATTGTTTATTTGCACAACGCGCTTTCATTTCATTGTGTGAGTGTGCTGACGTGTGTGCGTGTGTGAGTGTGTTAGTGTGGGAAGCGAAGGGTACAAGAAAATGCAATAAGTCATAAGTATTGGTGACAGGGTGAAATGTGGGCTAGTGTTAAAAAGTTGCGTATAAATGGGTTACGAGTGCAAGGCTACGTGGCTCTCCATTCCACGACTGTTGCCGCAAATGTAATGGAAAGTCATAAAAACGATTTATGTACGAGTATGAAGTACTTAAGTCACACGAAAGTGGCTGGTTGTGAGCCTTAAAGGTTCTCAATGTTGCGCTGGGTTAAGTAAAGTTTAATGAACGGCAGTTGTTGGCTTTTGCCATTGCCATTGCCTTTGACATAACGTATACGCCACATACAACAACTAATTGGCATTGTCCTGGCATTCCTTGTATGCCTTTCCTACTATCGATTTAATTGATTGAGAGACCTGAATTAGTTACACAGCCATTCAAGTGGCCGGTCTCATATGCTCATAGCACGCTGTCTGCCAATTTCTGAGGGCATCAAGACTGATTAGCCATTTATTTTCACACACACATATGGACACCCACATACTCGTATACTCCCATGCGCTATGTAGGCTTCAATTATTCGTTAAAAGGATTACAGATATGCCTATCCTTGTGTGTAACTCAATGCTGCTACTTACTTATGACCCCGTAGCTTTGTACTCCGAGCTTAAGAGCAGGAATTTTGCTTCCACATTGCCGTAAGTTATTTCAGACTTGGCTTTACCATGGGAATTTGGCTAAAGTTTTAAGCACTGATTAGTTAGCTTTGTTGCCTTTTGCTCCTTTCTGTCTGTATTACGTTAGCTCATCTACTTGTTGGCACTTTTAATTTCAACTCCGAAAACTTTCACGTCATGCGACTTAATGTGCTGAGCTGCAAGTAATTGTTTTCTCAGGTTCTCGTTTGCTTGTTGTACATTTATTAGACTACTTGTAACTAAAGTTAGACAAATGGTATAACAATAAATCAGCAGTCCTCGCTGAGAGTTTGTCAATTTGCTACTTTGAAGTAAGCAGCGAACCTACGCAAGATTTAATGAAAACAATATACTTGTACAACGTTGACTTCCTGCTCAGCTCTTATGGAATTTAAAAGACAACTTGCTGGGTTTTAAAAAGATATTTCTTGCAGATCGATTTTGATGCTGTTGTACCCATAGTATTTTTAGCTTAGAAAACATTATCATATGTAGAAATCAAAAGCATTTATCTAACGATGTCGGTGATTAGTATGTGGGAAAAATATTATGAGTTCGTGACCCTTGAAGAATCATTGAATCTTTGGAATAAGTGTCAAAATGAATTCTTTGAATAAAGCGCAAAATAACAGAACAATTTTGTGTCTTTATGTCTCATTTAATTGATGCATTTACAATACTTCTTATATTAGTCTATAAAGATTGCAGAAAATTAATAAAAGTAATAAAAGAAACGATGAATAGCTAAAAGCACAATTTCAGAACAGACCTACTTATCACAGAGCCCAATTAATGTCTTTATTGTCTGTCATCCAATGGCTACTCACCGTGTCTTTTTATGAATGCTGTTCAAATATGGATTAATCAGTCAGTACAGTTACATATAAGTGAGAAGTCAGTTGTATAAGAATTGTAAATAAGTTGAATGAACTGCCTTCAAACTGGTGGCGAAGCACTTGAAATTTTATATATTGAAATGAATGACGATTGAATTTATAAAATGCCTCCCCGGAGGCTGAAATTTTATGCTATTGTGGCTATCAATATTTATCCAAACATGAATTATTTAATTAATATTATCTTTTGCTCTCTTTCTAGCACACACGGCTTATAATCCCGTGAAGTAAAGCGGAATGTTATGAAAGTACTGAGGGCTGTGCGTATATCAAGAGAGAATGTTGCAGTCGATATAGGCCGACATACAATAGTACTTTCATTTGGTTCATTTACTTTAATTCAACAACTAATTGAAAAAAATTGCTGCATTTATAGGTTGAGCCTTTTGGAAATAAATATTGAATACAACATTTAATTACTCTGTGTTGTTTGTAATTCGAAAAGCCACGATTTGCAACGGTAATCAAATAAACAAACGTGCAACTAACATTTCGTTTGTTGTTACTGATGTTGTTATTATTGTCTGTGACACTAAATTCCCATCACATACCACCACACTCCCATCTAATCAGACCTCGACAGGCCTCTCTAATGAAGTGCAGCCGCCAATTAGGCAGTGTATTGTGTGCCGCAATCGCTGACCACCCCTTGGGCGTTGATTAAGAGCCAAATTAGAGGCGACAGTATAATGCAACCTTATGCTTAACAAGCCCCAAACAAACAACGCTAGCCACAGAAGCCACTAACAAGCAAACACGATTCCGATTTTATGTTATTGTCCTGCCGTCAAACTTTAAAGCCACACCCACAGTTTGAGTGCACTCCGTGCATTTATTGATGAAGCGCTCAAAAATAAAAATATCAATTAAAAGTGCATAAAAAGAACCATTTGCACACAACGTAAAAAATTTATTGATAAATTGAAAGGAATTAAGTTGAAATGTTGAAAATAATGTGCAAATAGCGACGGCAGCAGACAGAAACCGAATGTCTGACAGTTTGGCAGCTGTTCGCGTTTCTGGCATGAGAGGCGCAGCTCAACTCCAATTGACGGCCTGGACTCATAGCAGTGCTTACCATAGGTAGGGTAGGCAGGTAAGGTAAACCCATTACGGGGCCGGACTCCACAAATGATGACATCAACGTCGACATCAACGCCAACTGCCTATGGCATTGCTCCATGTCAAATTAATTGAAATGCATTGGAAGTAATGCAATCAACACACTCGACCGCAATGGGTGGCCCTCAAAATGTACAAATTGCCGGTGGATGGGATGGACTCGCACAGTAAAGCCGCCTGTATGCCTAGAACTCAACATCCGTCGGCTCCAGATCCATTTTCAACAGGCTATGAATTTGTTCGCGTTGAAAGTACGCTGCAAGAGAGGCCCAAATTTAGCGAACATGTGCAGAATTGGGAAAAGGCGTTTCCAATACTCATAAGCATTGACTTTAGTGGTTAGCTATCCTTACAACTTTATGACGTCAGCATTCAGTGACGATTCTGAATTGACTGTAGAAATGTGTTTACGCGGCAGCGATGTTAGCTGCGACTGTTAACTGTGAGCCATGGCTGTTAGCCGCGACTGACGCTTACAGCTGTTAGCTAACAGAGCGCTGCCCGCGTCGGCAGTGTCTCTCTCCTTAGTAAATTAGCCATAAGTATCACTCAAAAGTGTAATTAAGTTCTAAGAACAAAGGGAATAATAGCAGACGAATGGCAAGAGAACGAAAAGTGAATTTGCGTGATTACTTGGCCGCCATTTTAAGAAACTTCCACAACACAAAGCAATCTATGGATCAATTTTACTTTGTAACAGTGTTGCTTTAGAGGCGATGCAAGTATTTTTACATTAAAACTAAGAAGTTCAATGGCTATATCAAATATTCATCTGGCTAACAGCTAAGTATATTTGATTAATCCCATTTCTGTATGCTTAAACTATGTTTTACCAAAATATACTGCAAATAATAGAAGAATAGAGTAATTAGAAGTTCAATGGCTATATCAAATGTTTATCTGACTAATGGCTATATGTCTGCTTCAACGTTTACTACCAAAATATATTTCCATTTCGCAATCTAGTGAGTCTCCGACTCACCACATATTAGTTGACTATCAATAAAGTTCGAACTACAGTGAAAACTCTCTTGGTCGGCCAATTTTTGTCCGCCCAAGGGGAGTGTCCGCTTAAGGGGATACTTAAATACTATATACACCGATCGAAAAAGTGTCCGCCAAAGAGAGTAAAAGAGGTGTCCATTAAGGGCGTTTTCACTGTAATGCAATGGCTATATTGAATGTTGGGCTAACATATATGTATGCACATGATTAGTTTACGTAAAATATCTACTTGTAGATTATGAGTTTTCTAGTACCTTAGTCGTAAAAGACATTGAATACGCAAATATACTTAAATGTAGTATATCTGTTACTAAAAAAAAGCCATTATTCAGCTGTTTTCAAATCAGGGAAGCTGCTTTAGCTATTGAAGAATATTACAACTCATGGTTAAGCCATCTAGCTTATAACAGTAAATAAATTATCCTCGTTAATGATTTTAGAGTAAATGTCATTTAACTCCGATTACTATTGGTGTATCCATGGTGGATCCGGGTCACCTCATGTTTAAGTTAGTTCTCTTAATATTTTTAACTCATTTATGCTTTAAAAACCACCCTCTGAGCATAAATCAATCAACGTTAGACAACCATCATTGGAGCAGCCATTAAGTGCCATCAAGTGAGAATAAAGATTGCTATTACTGCCATAGTGTGCTCAGCTTCGAGTACTTACCCATGACTATGCCACCGATTAACACTAGTAATGCAATCAATTTTCTGCCCAAATTGCAGCCTGTCTTTTCGGTTCGAGTCCTTTCCATATGCTGCGCACAATTCGGACACAATGGGCGGAACTTTTGTCGCAAGGCATCCACTGGAAAGTCTGGTCTATCGAACTGCATATTAGTAAACTGATGGTCCGACACATCCACGCACTTGGCATTGAGCTGAACAGGAACACGCACATTGTTCAGCTCTGAGCGTTCCACCTCATTAAAGGCGTCAAGGAGATCGTGGGGCAGGTTGGCGGGGGCACGCACGCATTGAACGCAGAATCGATGCTTATATCTACGAGTCGGATGGAAGTCGAAATAGTTGAGACTTATGCACACTTCGGTGGTCGTGTACGGCTCGATAACGCCACAATTTGGTGTGACATTGTAGTGCCGTTGCTGGTTGGCTTTGACCTTGAATACCAGCCTGAACTCGGTGGGATTCAGCATGGTGAGCAGACGTCTTTGGCTGCGATCGTATGGCATATAGAACTTCAGGATTTTGGGACTAACAATAAGCAGGTTGTCTTTGCTTTGCTCCATTTCACAAAACAAGTTTATTTTTTTTGACAGTTTTTAATTTGGGTTTATTTTTTTAAGTGCTTAATTTTGAATTTTTGAAAACTATCCAAACAAACAAACAATGTATGTCCGAATTTTTAGTATTCCTGACAACATTTGCATATGTTGCCAAAATTTTCGGGCCAAACTAACAACACATGTGCCATCAAAGTTGAATTGAAGGCATGAAGGCATTCTATTCATTGTCCTAGTTGCCCAACTCTAGTGCATTTCCATGTTCCATTGCCCATGTTGCACGTCCGCATTCATGTCCATGCATGTCCATGTTTCTGTCGATGTTGCTGCTATTGTTGCTTTTGCTTTTGGTTCTGTTGCTTCCGTTTCTATTGCTGCGTGACTTGCCATCAAACCGCCGACCAAAGCTGGCATCGAGCGGTATTACGCCGGAAACTAGAGCGACACTGCAAATGTTGTTCCAATTTTGAAGAATGGCAATAGTTCGCAGCATATTGCATACGAGCACTTGGCGGCCAGGAATGACTGGCCTCCGCACTAAATGCATCTACTTTCCGAAATATGCCATTGCCATAGCCGCAGCTGTCAAATGTTGCGTGCTTTCGAATTGAATGCATGACTGAATGACTGAATGACAGGGGAATGCGGCCAGACCTTGGAAATGGTCTATAAATAATAGAGATACACGTGTATTGCGATGTGTATAGTGTGTGTATGGGGATTTTTCTGTGCAATTATAGCTCCGAACATGAAATATATGTTTGGTTTCCGCAGATATTTGACCATAATTCTAGTTTTATAACCAATATGCTGTGGGAAAGTGCTGCAGCTTGCGTAGACCGAGCGCGTAATAATAGCAGAATTTCAGATACCAGAATGAAACCAGAAACGCGGACTAACACGGCAGGAGCAAAATTGGTGGGTGTAGGCGCACAACAAATTCAATACTCATTTGCTCCTTAATATTGTTTAAATGTTTCCAGATTTGGATATATGTATATATGATATCTAGCTGATTAAAATATTTCTAGCTGATTACAATATTTCTGATTTGGAGAGTGGAATAAAGTGGCAGTATTGGATCTTAAGAACAATTCTCGGGACATAATTGTGCACAGGAGTTAAGAATTTTAAGGTGAGAAATATTTGTGTTATTTGCAATAACATATAATTGTCTCTTAAATAAAAACTATATTGCAGATTCCATAAATTATAGAGTGTTAAGGTTGGAGCTTCCAGTCGCGGAAGTCGCCATCATGTTGTTTTATTCCAGTGCTTCATCTTTATATTAATTTTCTTGAGATGGCAACTCTGTTTGCCAATTGCCTACTGCGTTCAACACAAATGCTGTCAAAATAAAAAACGCATTTCTATAAAATAATAATAAACGAAATGGATCGATGCATCGATGTTTTAAAAAATTAACTTTCCATAGAAAAAAATGCGATTATTAGGGGGAGAAAATCAACAGCGATGTTTGAAATAAATGTTTATATATTAAGAGAGACTGTCATAGTATTATACTTAATGTTGTTTATCAAAAAAGTACTCTTAATATTGAGTTTTGATGACTTGTATGGCTTACTTAAAAAAACTGATTATATACATACAGTTTTAAAAACAACGACGCTTGCAGCTGCACCTTTTAAGCATATTAAGTGTAACATAATATGTATACGAAAAAAAGAAGATCAAATACAAACTAAAACGTATATTACAAAATACACATTTTAATGAAAACATCAAATAATTTATAATACAAATATACCTTCTTCGGTTAACTATATACAAATAAAGAAATGTGACCGCCCAACAAAACATGAATAATGTTGATGTTTGGATAAACATCGATGGATCAACGATGTATCGTTAACAAAAAACTATCGGAAAACATCGATGCATCGTAGTAACAACATCGTCGAGGCTCGATATATCGATGCTTTTTTACATCCCTAGTTTGTTTCTCTTATTTCTTAATTCTTTTTATCTTCATCGCAATTAAAACGAACAAAACTGTTCTTAGAGTGAAGAAAAATTAGAGTGTTTCTTCTTTTATTTCTCATATCTATTATGTGTATTTGTATTATATTGTGTAACAACCATGAACCAAATATAAGTATACCAAAGAGAAGGGAGCAATGTGACCAATGCTTATCAAAATAATTGCCACCTTTGCTTTGGCACTAATGTTATTGCAACCATTAGGCCCCCTCGTTAATGCGAATTTTCAGCCACATTTGAAATAGGAAGTTCTTGTGTGGGTATCTGATGTCATATTATGTTCTCATGCCAGTGTAAAGCTTGATATAAGCAAATAATTAATGGTTGCAGACTTGTATACTATTTACAACATGGTGAGCATTTTAAAAGATTGTAGCGGAAATAGAAGCGAAATCTAAAGACTGCTGATGTTACAGTCTTAGAACTTGTGGCCAATTCTGCATTTAAATCAGGGCGTTTGTGCTTCATCTTCGTGGCTAGCAAACTTTATAATAACAGTTTGTGAAAACAATCCACGCAACATCAGTTTTTACGCATTATTTTCCATATTCGTAACTTTTTAATGAGCTCACAGACAACGACAGCACGTCAACTCTGATTTGTAAATAAAAACTGTTATTTGCGATGCAACTTTTTTCACACGTGCCAGTGAATGGCTTTCGCTTTAATTATGTAATGCGGTTTTTAAGAGAAAGGGAGGAGAGCAGCTTGAAAATCTATAACATCAAACCAGAAATATTATTCTTGAGCTCATTGTGTAGGTGATTTCGCACTCTGTACAAAGTTATAATGTCTTGTAATGACCGAAGAAAATATGTTCTAAATAAGTTCAGTTTTGACGAATAGATATTCTAAAATATCAGGCTACATCAAATGTTTCATTTCAATAGCCATAAAATTACAAGATATACAAAATCTGGTCAGGTGGAAAGTGTTGGGGCTTTGCAGACATGATTATCGATAGTTTGGTATGAATCATGAACTTAACACCAATTTAATAGATTTGAGACAGATGTATAAAAACAGATAAGCTCATTTATTTGTTTTAGGGATCAGTTGCATTAAAAGGAATTATGGTTCCGATGGGGAAAGACAAGGAGGTGGCAGTAGAATTATATATTTTTGAAGTGGTTAATAAGAAAAATCTAACCAGTTAGTATTAGATTTTATATAAAAGCTGTTGTTTATTCTTATATTGAACCGTAAACCTTTGATCTATTTATTTTTGTAAATATATGTTCATTTATGTGTTGTGAACTATTGGATAGTTTAATGGATGTATTGCCGCACGTTCTCTCTCCCTTCTTATCATCAACCATTCATGATCATATGAACAAACTCGACATAGTTTATTTGACCTTTGGCATCTACGCGTTGTGACAGCAATTCATCCAGTTCCTTGAAACTCAGCTGTTCCCCACCACAGGTTGTTAGCAAGCGACGCAGATGAGCTGCCGACATCTTTCCATTGCCAGCATCATCGAAGAGTCGCAAGCTTGCAATCAAATCCTCGGCAGCATGGGTGCAAGGCATTCGCAGGATGTCCTCGTAGATGTCCAGAAACTTGTCAAAAGTTATGCGTCCTGTTGGACCCAGCTGCTCGATATATTTGCGCACCACTGCCTCACTGGGATTTGTGCCGAGCACTCGCAGACAATTCCCCACCTGGGTCACGGCTATTTTGTTGTCGCCGTAGTTGTCGTGGAGTCGGAAGATGCTCCGTATTTCCTTGAGCTTTTTTGCTGTGTAGTTGGCCATGTTGCTGATTGATATATTGCTTGGCTGATTGATGGATTATTGCATGTAGTGGCAGCTCTATGTGTGGAAAATGCGTGGCTCAATGGAAACACATTTCGCATGCAGTTTGTGGGGCACACGAAACCGGATCCAATTGTGCTAGGTATATTGGATGGATACAAATATTGTTAATTTTGACATGTTGACAACTAAAACTTGTCTGTGAGTTAAGTAGAATCTCTGCTTTATAATAAAATAAGCTTGGCCAGCTGCGACTGCCAATTGTATTTGAAATCAGCCATAACAGAATTTGTCACCTATCGGAAAGTGGACATCGAATACGTAAAGTTCTTAAGCCTTTAAAAGCAATGGAAGCGGGAAATGAAAAACGTGAATAGTTGCTGAAACTGTTTACCGTGCAATAACAGCCACAAGCTTATAAGTTTATTGTGCTTATGATTGCAGTTGCTTTAAGGTGGGGTCACTATAAGATTACCCAACACCATTGGTACGTACGCGGAATTCATTCACAGCTATTTGTATTATGGAACAAATCTATTAAGACAACATTGTCATCAACTAATTAATCTGGCTAACATCGATGCCAAAAAGTGGAAGACTTGTGTGAAATTAAAGTTTTGCTCAGAACTCAATTAATAGAACTGTGCAGACAGCGTTTAAAGAAACGTGCTTGTATTTAAAGTCCGGATCAAAAAAGCTGTATCTGTTTAAACACTTTTATTCAACATCCATTTTGTATTTCTGTCAGTCATTTAGTCGGCTTTGCAGGCATTTGCTGAATATCCTCATAGATGGCTAGGAATTTATCGAATGGTACGCGCGGACCCAGATCATCTGTGTGCTGACGTATTACGGCATCATTGGGCGGCACTCCAAGCACCTTTAGGCAATTGTACACTTGGGCCACGGCAATTTTTCCATCGCCCTGATAGTCGTGCAGCCTGAAGACGTGCCGTATATCCCTGGCCTTTTCCGACTTGTAGGTGGACATGTTGTAGTTCGCATCTACTGGCAGCGAGGACAGTGCGGAGCTCAGTGAAAAATCATATCGCATTTAGTAATTTTTAAATAAATTACAAAAACGTAATTCTATTAATTTGGATAAGTTGATAACTGAAGGTTTTCCGCACTCTATGCTTACTACGATTTGATGTGGTAGTAGAAAATCATCATCATCAGATTCTTAGATAATTTAATCCTGCATGAAGGGATGCCAAAGCTTATCGCAAGGTAAGCTCCTTTTCTTGTGTTGCTCACAGCTTCGGAAGAATCCACTTTAATGTAAATGTGTAGGTGTTCCTGGGTTAGCAAAGAAGCTTTCAAGGTATTATTATATATCTGGTTGGGTAGGTTGGAGCGAGCAATGGGTTATCGATCTAGACGTTAAAGTTTAGAAATTCCATAGTGCTGCTTAATAGTCTATAAACAGTTCCTAAGCTAATGAGTTCTCAAGGCGTCTTTGAAAGCAAAGGACTCTTAGGGAATACTATTTAGTCATTTGGTCAGTGGTTATTAGTTTAGAAATCTGTTCTAAACTTAACCATCATGCAGCTTGCTTTAAGTATGGAGTATTTTGATTCATTTATTCATTCATTATTTTGTTATTTTATTGTTGATTTCCTTGATTTGTTCACTGTTCAGTTTGTAAATCAGCTTACAAGTTGCTTCAAACTAACTTTAATCAGTACTATTTTAGCAGTTCAACTATCGGCATTTTCACACTCACAGCCACAGATGGAGTCGTCCTTCCTACGTTGCTTAAAACTACTGCCAATCAATGAAGTTTGCTTGTGCTTTCTCCCACTCTCCCCCACAATTCTCCTAAAACTTCAAATGTCTAGTGGAGCGCTGACGTGCTCGTTGATGCTGATGCCTGCAAGTCTTCTGTGCCACATGATGCGTTCCTCATAGGTGTGTTCTCTGGCATATTCAACAGCATTTGCTTCAATTTTCTACTGCGCTTCCGTGCGCTTTTCATGCAATTTCCAGTTTATGGAATCATCACGAACGGATGGCTTTGGTCGAACACCTAGACTACTCGTTGTTTGCAGTTGGTCATCAAGTCAACTTATTAAGCGCATATGCTTCCTGAAGCTTACTTAGTTATCGATGCTTTAATGCTCAAATTCAATTTATGTCGCACACACACACACATGCAATCACACACACACACACACACACGCTGTGCGCATACGAATAAATAATGTGCATTCGTTAAATTTATGAAATATGTATTTAATTGAATGACAAATAGCTTTTCATTTGTTGCCTTTGCAGCTGAAAATTTATAAGTATGCACATTGAATTTTCCAGTTGCTGGCAACAGGAAGCCAAAAAACTCATTTGTTTCGCGACTGTTTTCAATGCTCGCAATCAATATGCGCCAGTCAGTCTTCATTTATTGTAAATGGATTTCAGCTCTATATGTATTGATTCCCATTGCAGATAATTTGCAGCCAAGCCACGTTAATGAAAGCCCAAATACATGTCTCTGAACAAAAAGCAAAGCACTTTGGGGTAGATTAATGCTTTTTATTATTTTTCCAGCTTTTTGTTTAAATGTTCATTTAATTGAGGCTGAGATTTGGTCGAAAGGTTCTTTTTGTACATTTCACTTAACAGATAGCCCTGCAGCATCCCATATGTGTGGGAATCGGTTGTCTTTAAATTGTATTACATTGCTTGCAGCTAAGTTGTAATTTTTTAATAATTTAGCCAGTAAGTATACTTTTTTAACGAATGACCCCCATTTAATAGTAATTACCAGATGTTGATATTGATATTAAAAATGGGGCAAAACATTTCTTTTTACAGCTGTCTATTACAAAACTCTGCTTCTTTTTGTTCCTCTTAACTGTCTTTAAATTGCCTGTAACTAAATCTAAACTTTCCAACAATTTGCTTCGCATACTCGTCTATTGGTGCGGCTATTTCTTTTCTTAGTCGCACGGATCTTGAATGACTACAATAAAGTAATCATCCGAGGGCGCGACTATGATCTCGCTCTTGAGCGTACGCATGCGTATCAATACAAATTCATTGGCCGCATCCAAGTCCAACACCACCTGACGTGCTTTCTCCGCCAGGGTCTGCATGAGGGCCGCATAATGTACAGTTGTGGTATACTCCATGGTTGTCTTAATGGGTATGCCATCATTGTCGACCACAATGATGCCCTGCACGTTCTTGAAGGCTGAAAAGCGCTTCAACATTTCCTCCACCTCGGCAGACATCCTCAATCCGTTTGCTTCTTGTTATTGTTAGATGTATGTCTGTCTATATGTACTATGTTTCGTGTATTTGTGTGTTAATGTGTATTTATTTTGTATCCTATGCTCCCACTTGTGTTCTGTAGCTCGACTGGTGTTAGAATGTAGGAAAATGTTCACATTTTTGACATTTGCTTCAATGCTTTCCACACCCCACAATAAAATGGTTCTCAAAAATTGGGATGATGATGGACTGTTATTAATTAATTATGAAAAATAATAATCAATTATTATTAATTGATTACTTAGCATCTAAAGAAATGGGCAACATTGAATTAATCTAGTCCACTAGATGCAAAAATATTGTAGGGCCTTTTTCAAAAATTCTTTGAGAAACAATGCAGTCGATGTAAAAGAAAAAAGAAAACAAAAAAATCAATAGAGAACTTAAGCTAAATAAAATTAAAGAAATAAAAAAGCCTATGGCAAAAATATCTAACAACCAATCCAAACTCCCATGAGAATTTAATTAAAAAATATATTTGCCTAAAGAAGTACATAATGCAAAATAATCTCACGTGTCCTCGTAGAACACAGCAGCTTTTTAAATAGATTCTTCGTACAACATCTATTGTCTATAATGACCTGATTGGTTTGCACTTAAATATGTTTTAAAATACAGTATTAAAATTAATTGAGATCGGTTGTAAAAACATGAAAGCTTAACTTAAATCATGTATCTATAAATTATGGCAATGCATTGGGTATTCTGTTCGCTTTCTAACTACATTTTATCTAATTTTTGTGAGAACAATAATAGCCAGTTACTACCAAAGGGTAACTATCTGATTAAAGTATATTTTTTAAGTGTTGCTTTGAATATACAAGTATTTCGTTGGTAAACTTTTCAAACACCGAGGCAAGCAATTCATAAATATGTTTTGAAAGTCGCGTGTCGATTTAGCATTTTTGCACAGCCTTGACCAATTCCTCGCATTTGCTGGCCGTTGCGCAACGTAAGATTATAAATCATAGCATACTTTTTGGCAGTTCTGTAAAACTTTATTTTGGCTGTCAGAGAAGTCCGCCAACAAATGCTGATTGCTATAGAAATCGAATATTCTTAGACATTTTGCAGCTAAATTAAAATATTGCGATTGCGGCAATCATTATTTTTGGTTATTTTTTTTAAAAGCCCTTAAAATTTTATGTAATTTCGAGTTGATAAACTGATAAAAGTTTTATGACATTACCAAGCCACAAAATGAGTTGCGTTTGCTTCTGTTGTTCTTGTTGTTGTAGTTGCAAGTCGTAAATAAGCATAAAGTTTATAACAAAGCCGGATGCATGCTTGGCTGGCTGCCTGACTGGCTGGCTGGCTTGGACGATGCTGGAAAGTTGCTTTTGTGCGAAAAGTACGGAAAATTAATTGAATGTTGTTGACGCTTGTTCCAGCTGCAATTCTTAACGGACAATCGGGCAACTAGACAGCCAGACATTTGGGCAGTCATTTACTCGTTTCTGGTTTTATTCGAATTGCAGATGAAATGTTTGCATCAAGTTTGCAGCGGAAATTATGGCATTCTTCCGGTCGAATTGCTGACTGGCTGGCTAGCGGACTGGCTGGCCGAAACCCAAAACCCACAGCCATCAGTCTGTTGTTAAAAAGTGTAAAATTGTGCACTTTTGAAATTAATTAAAAGTCATAAAACTCATAATGAAATTACCAGCAGACGGGAGCTAAAGGACAGATGGCAGCTGACAGGACACGGACATGCCACACATATGCAAATTGCAGCTTGGAGAACACTCGCAATGCTGCAGCAGCCACAAAGGACTTTCGGGTAAATTAAATTGGACAGGTCGCCAGACCATGAAAGCGACTTAAGGTGGCTCATGCTCCTGTCATTTATATACAAGTATGTGGCGTAATTAAATCAATGCCCATTTTTAACGTCTCGGTATTGAATTTATGTTGCTGCCAAATGGGGCACGAAAATCGCATCTAACACTCCTCGATTTGTGCAAGCGCACATTTTCATGAAGATAAATGGCAGAGGCAACACAACTGGGCGTATTTTTATTGCATATTTGTTGTACAAATATTTAGTTTTGCTCGCTTGCCATCTATATGCGATATTCGCACTGTTGTTTGAGTTTGATAAATGTTTCGGTGGCCGAGAGTGGAAAAAAATATATTCGGTTTGGTAAATGGGTTGAGTTTTTCGTGTATTTCTGCGAGTTTTGTTTTCATACAAATATGAAAATATTTACAAATGTATTTTACAATTCATGCAACATGTAAACATCTGTTTCTTCTGCAGTGCAAGTAAAAAATAATAGTTTACAAATATGCGTTTACTGTGTATCTTATAAGCGCATAAGCGTACAATATCGACCATAACATTTTATCTTGCTTTCCTTTTGCAATTTTGAGTTAAAACTTGCAATGCAAATATTTGTTAGCTTACCAATTAATTTTTGAGCAAGCAAAAGTTGCTTTTCTACAAAAAATCCGAAAAATATTATATATAAATTATAAATATTATATCCCACTTTATCATGAACCGGTACGAAAACCGAACACCTAATTGTCCTAAAATGTCATTGAACATTTCAAACAATTAGGACATCGTTGCACAGATCTACCTGAATTGGTCTAATGTAAATAAAAACGAGTAGAATATTAATGTTTAAAAAAGTTCCCACGCTTTTCCCCGCTACAACCATTCAATTAAACAAAACTTTGTTGTATCGATCATTCATAGAGCAGATGATGTAGTTTATCAATTTTGATGAATCCTCAGATTATGAAGAGGCATAAGTTATCGTAATGAATCAAAAATATTTTCATACTCAGAGTAATTTTCGATCGATCGATTCTAAAAATAATGATTTAATATAAATATAAATAATTTCCATCACCTCCACAAATGTGAATGAATAATATGAATAAAGTAAATTTCTGCCTATTTCACAATAGTTGGTGAGATGTTTTGAATCATAAATGAATTAATAATAAATGTATAATTTGTTTATAAATCAACCTATTACTTCTCCCTTATGCAAAAAGATAGTGCTAGAAGGCATTTTACTAAATCTGAAAATAATTATGAATGAATATGAGTTTCGCTTCTCTTTCTATATTTCCTATGCTGCTCATGACTCTGCTCTAAATTCATTTATAGATTCGAAGTGCACTGATAAAATATTAATATAAATTCTTTCCAAATATATTCGTTGCAATTTTTTATTTGAAAACGATAATTTATCATAACAATAATTACCGCACATTCCATGCTTTGCCAAATAACTTTAATAGCAACATATATTTGATAAAATGCTACAAAAACAATTAGTTTGCAAATAAAATATTACACACATATTATGCTACACAGAATGTTAATTTTTTATTCATTAATCATTTGTTGGCATTTATTTCAACTTTAAAGAATTTATTGATTTTTTCTATTCCCCAGCTTTTGGTCGAAAAGAAACTTCTGATGAATTAAAAATAAGTTATAATTATGCCGCTGGTCAATTTCTGATATCAAATTAACCATTAAACTATGTATATTTGTTGAAATCATGCGTTGCAAAATATTTGCTGCTAATTGCAATTCAATTGATTTTTCCGTTGTTGCTGTTACTTTGCGAATTAATTAATAAATCATTTAATCAATGCCCACACTATTATTGCCTTTATTATTCTCTTCCGGCCATTGCATGCAGATATTTATCAATTTTGCATTGAGCTGAAGGTGTTAATTTAATGAATCATTTGATGCAGAAAATTTGTTGATAAGTCCTTCATGTTGCTAATTTTAATTTAAGTTTAAATTTAAGACGAATAGCCAGCATTTGAGCTGATTAGAAGACACATTTGCAAGCCACGTGCACGAACATAAAACATAAATGAATTATCGAGCTTGCAACTGAAATGTTAATGAAAATCTGATTTCGTACGCAATTAGCGCCTACACACATACAAGCATGTGTGCACGCGCACACACACACACACACATGCAGACGTGCTATTCCCCTATGTGTTGTGTTGTTTGTGTGTGTGTGTGCGTGTTACAAATTACAAACCGAATGCGTGCTATAAACTCATTTGTTTATGCATGTGGCAGCTTTGATAATTTAATTCGGCCACAATTTAAATTATGATTGAGCAGCTCTATGCAAATTCGTGCTACATTTTTAATTGAATTATAATGAACAGCCACATTACTTAAGTGGAGCTGAAGTCTTTGAATTTAAAATTAATCTAGTTAACACACTCGGGGTAGTTAGCAGCCTATACACAGAGAAGAAATGCCTAACAACTAACATGGGAAAGGCAATAAAAATAATGTAGAAATTCAAATTATGCATGATAAAAACAAACAATATATAAAAGGCAGGAAGAGTTCAAGTAATAGAGCAAAAATAAATAATAATAATAAACTGATGATCAGAGTAGTATATCAATACAGTCATGTGAAAAATAATAAGGATGCATCAATCTCAAATGGATATATACAAGAAAGCCTGTCACCCCGCTGCAAGGGTCTCGTACTGCCAGAGACCCACTCAACACTATCGAGCAAAACCTTAAAGAAGTGCAATTTTTGAGCATATTCAATGAGGTGACTGGCGATCCAGATTTAATCTATTAATGTGGATGGATTGGACAATCTCAAAGAAGTTTTCCAGCATGCATCACAACAAGCAGCAGGAGGATTACAAATCTTATTATGAAACAATAGACTTTGCTCACATGCACGCGCATAGACACAATCTTGATGTAAACGTATGATTTTGGAGAATTGTAATGAATTCCCAAATATCCACTAAGGTTGTGGATACCAAACAGCCGATGACTGACCTTTTTCTTTAGATAATACACACTCGAATTACATCATATGCCTATACTAAGTAGAAACTATCTTATAAGCATTTAAAGTTTGACAATCATTCGTATTTAAATTTAATTTCACATTCATTTAACACAATCTCTCTCTTCAATAGCTGAGTGTTCCGCTATTCTTATTCCTGCATTCCTACATGTATGTACTATGTGTTGAATATATTTTATTTCATTTAAATCATTTAATTTACTTATTTTTTTAAATTAGTTTAAAAAAGTACCCTTTTTTTGGTAGGAGTGGTTGCAGGCCAGCGGAATGTTTTAATTAAATCTAGACAGATAGTTTTCAAACACTCATTACCTTGAACTATTTAAAAACTACGGAACGAGAAGGCGAACGGATGGAACCTGAGGTGCTGGCAGTTTTCTAAAAGTTTCTGGCCAAGGAACGTTAGCTTTTCAATACCCAAGTTCCTGTGAATGATGCAAAATCTCTATATTACAGCGCCTGGCTGTCTCCACAGTTGGATGCCACATATCCAGGCTGATTTCAGTATCGCTTTTCAAACTTGGTGTTGAGGGAAGGATTAATTTTCAGAACTTGTAACAAATAATCTGCAATAATTTGTGTCAGTGTAGTTTTAAATGCAACACGAAAGTGTCAAGTTGCCAAAATTTGACTTAAAGGCGCTTGAATTGTCTGTGTGCTATGTTCAAAAAGTAATTTGTCAAGTCAATATATAGTATATACATACTCGCACATATATGTACTTTACGATGAAACGCTCTTGGGCGACATGTTCATATTTGAATGTCTGCTGTCAGTTTATATTTGTACTTTCACATTTTTGTTGGTGCGGTACGTTTGAATTTTCGCAGAATTCCAATTCATAACAAAATTGCCTACGGAGCCGATTTTAAATTAAATTTTCTAACGAAGGCGTTTTGCTAAGCAGCCGCAAGGCTTGATAAATATCTGCGATATATATTGTGTATGCGTGCTTGAGTCTCGGCTTTCGCACACACACATCACCTTTTGTTGTTGTGCCGACATCTTAAGGTTGATAAGCCAGGGAATATATGTATGCATATTTATTTAGCTAAAAGGGAAATTGAACCAGCCAAGTGGGTGTAATTAATTAGGCTTGAGGCATCAGTTGTTGTAATTTTAAAAATGCTGCTTCTCTAAGGAAACGAGCTAAGTCATTTTCATTGATATACTTGTTATGATATTTGGGGTAAGTTTGTTTGTTGAAAGGTTAAAGTGTAATCTATGCCACCTGTTATACTTTTCTAGGACATTAGGGATAATGGACATTTTTATCAACCACTCCATATCAGGCTGTCACGCCTACGGAATCAATTGTCACACTCAGGCAAAGCAATGCTTTATATATTCTGCAAAGTATTGTAAAACATAAGCAAATAAAAACTGAAACTGCCATCATATTTAACTCGAAAGTATACACAAATAACAATCAAATAAAGAGCAAGAAATAAATATTGAGATATAAATAAAGGAAGTGGGGCAAAAAGTGGCTCGAATCACCTTTTTCAATCAACTAAAAAGTGTTTGCCTCCATCTATCTCTCTCTCTCTCTCACTCCTCCCGACTCTCAACCGACTCAATAAGCCGACATTTTATTTGCATTTTTCGTCACTTACTCGCTTTTTCTGCTCCTGTCTGTTGTCCTTTCTTCTGCTGCTTCCCCGCTGACTGGCTGCCCAAATCCCACAGCAACCTCTCCCCCCACCCTCCACGTCATTTCTTTCATCATACTGCGAGTTTTTCGCATTACGGTCTCAACGGCTGGAGCCGAGCTTCGCCGGCACCGGCAAATTCATCATCATCTCAGCACGCGTCTGTCAACCGCTCTAAGGATACAATAAATGTCTTTCGCGGTCGCCATGCACAGCCTGTCGAGTGCTGTGTCCTGTACACTGTACACTGTACACTGCCATACTTCATAGACCCGACGAGAGTCGTCGTTGATGGCGAAGAGTCGCAAAGACACCCTGTAGCTGCGGCAGTTTGAGTGAAATACTCTGTCGGATTAATATGCAGTAACGTTTTTCAATTCGTTTTCAGTTATTTTTGTTTTGTCGCTTCTGTCGCCATTTGTGTTGGCTTTTTTTTTGCCCTCTCTGCTTTGCTTTTGGTTTATTCATTTGCCTTCAGTCGCTGGCTGCGGAGGTTCAGGTGCACTTTGCGATAACAAATTAAACAACTTTATGCGCGCATCGTTGAATAAAATTCGCTGAATTTGTTTATACAGCGCCTAGCGTTGGGTGGGGCTAGGAGTATGAAAATATGATTGCTTTTCCTTGCGCTCCATCACGGAGCACCAGACTCACTTGTAAATTCAGATGCAAGCAATCAGTTGCATTTATGTGGATGGTCTTTAAGCTACCAAACAACTAACGATTTAGTCATGGTTGCATAAAAGGCCTCTTTCCGGTTTCCAATTCAATCGCATTGGTCGGAATCGATTGCGACAAACTTTCCAATTTCAATAAATTTAATCGGGTGATTCGAAAATGAAGGATTTGTTTATGCTTTTAGGTGGGATTTGCTTATAAATACTGTTTACTCTATTGATATTATAAGCATCTCTGTGTTTGTTATTGAATATAGAAGACTATTTTAAGGTAACTTGTAACTTACTTTGAATTCGAACTGAGAGCCGTCGCTGACACCATGTTTTCGTATTTGGTCGGCACTTAACTTTCTTTTGACCTATCATCTGACCATCATTGCTAGACGTATTCCAACATCCAACTTGTAACCTACCTTTAACAATTTATTCCTCAAACAGCATTGTTCAAGACTGTTAAAATGTGATCTAAAAGTTTGAAGAACTAAGTGCATCTGCTTGGGTGAAAAATGATAGGTAATAATTAAATAAATATTTAAAATACTTAAATATTTGTTAGATAGTCGTGGCACCCATCAATCAATATTGAACTTCTATAGTGCTTTATTTTGCATACGCTGTGTTTATTGAAGTATTCCCTAAGTAAAGCAGATCTTCTTTCAATTAAGCTAAGATTTGTTCTTAGCAGATAGCCAAGATACTCAGCTTCAAACTCGTTTCACAATCAAGTATACTGAGCAATCGACGTTATTTTCCCTCATACTTAAATTTTGAAAACATTCGTTTCAGGATCGTGAAACTTTTTACACTATAAATTTCACAAAAACCTAAAAAAAAAAATTGAAAAAATTGAGTGAACACTCTTATGCGGTACTTAAAAGAAAGTCCGTTACCATCCGATCATACATACATTCTTCTGACCTAAAATTAGCCTTCAATTAGTATTTTTTTTTTTTTTAATAAATTTCAGTCGTTATATCCACAAAATGGAAGCCAGCCTCGTGTTAGCCATGGTCATAGTGGTTTTCTGCCATTGGATAGGACTGACATACTTATCGAGCAACGATGCCAGTCTGGCCTCCACTATCTTCATAATAATTGCCATGATGGGAATGCACAAAATAATGCTGAAACGTGGCGGTTCCGATACCTTTAGGAACAAGGTGTTTGAGGCTACAGGCTATTGTGTCGTCATGGATGTAGTTCTTTCATTCGTGTGGGAGGTTGGCGTGAAAACCATGCAGTTCTTGGTGGGGGTACTCTTCGATATGTTACGTGCAACACTGAGTGCGAAATTCCATTGGCTTCCAGACATGGTGCAGCCCACGGTAACCCCATTGGCGTTATTGGCAATTGAAGTTTTTGCGTTCCTTAAGTGTTTCGAAATCAATGATATGCAACAATTCTTTGGCTGCGAGGATGATCGTCTCTCGGAGAGTATGCTGTCCCTACTGGCCGAGCAGGAACGACGTTTCTGGCGCCGCGAGCATCGCCGTATGATGACCAAAAGATAAATCCTCAAATAGTCTTATTCAAAATGGGTAAACCAATTCTACAAGAGTTATCAATTTAAAGTGCTGAACGAACAAGTCTCCTTGCAGTTTTTACTTTAGGGAGGCTTTCCTGGGGCGAATTGTTTCAAAAAGAAGAAATTTATGTTGAAATTTAATGAGCAAATAAATGCAATTTCTTTCTCTGGACAGTATTTGTTTACCTGTTAAGTCAGTGACTAATAAATTGAGTAATTATTTCTGGGCCACACAACTTTTGGGCTCAGATCGAAGGAGAAATGCTTCGAAAATACATGTTCCACAATAATCTGCTAAATGTTTGGCCAAAGAGATAGATATTTATTAAAGTAGCAAATCTTAGTCAATGTTATAGATTCCCATTGCTAAAGCCCCATTTAGACGATCACTTCTTAAACATTTGCTAAATCTTTTCTACCTCTAGTATTGATTGTTAAGCCGTAGTAGCTAACAGAAATTTCTACAAATTGTGCAAATTTCTTGCAGCTTTAAATGACACATGCTGCTCGATTGCTTGCGATAAACTCTGCAATAATTTATTACAATCCCTCAACTCAACGGTGGCGGTGATGGCGACAAAAAAAAAACAGAAAAGAAAAGAAACGTAGAACATAAAATATACATGCGAGTTTGTTGGAAAAACACACATATGTATATTTAAGTATATACCATGTATAGACGATACAATATTTTAAAATTGCATCCCAAAGGATAAAACATTGCAATAAAAAGTGCGCTGCAAATAGGAGTGCGAGGACGCAGGCAGACATTGACACATGAAGCGAGCGAGTGTGCAACAAAAATTCAAATAAATAAGATATAAAAGTGAAACAAATATACAAATGCCATTCAGCGAATGCCTTGGTCTGAGCCCGAGTTGGAATCGAAGTCGGAGTCGCCGTCACAGTCGCAGTCTGGATCTGGGTCTGTTCCAGCCGGCTGGCAACAATTTATGCATGGCGATATTTACGAGTGCTTTCCAACTCGATAAGTGTATTTATTTGAGTGTTGCGCTGCAATATTTATAGGGCAGCGGCGCCAATTGCCGATACATCTTGGTCGCCATTTCACAAACATATATAAATATATGTCTGTATATATACATAGCGCGATGCAGCGAAAAGGTCGCCACCGACGTCCTCACGGCGTATGTTGAATATTTGTGGCAACTTCTGTTTGTGTGCTGGATTGTTGCTTTGTTTGCTTTTCATACAAAACACGCTGACTTGGCCTCTTATACTACGTATGCTCTCGACGAGCTGGCGACACGCCTCTCCTTCTTGCAATTAAACCAACAGCGACAGCAACAATAATAGCAACAACAACAGCAACAGGAAAAGCAATAACAGGGTGAACTAATCTCGAGCTGGTGCCTCGTAAATTCCGGCGGGCATTCCTGTGGGGCATTGCAGCGGGTTGGCGCTCGAATTGAAACTATTCACGAAATCTCCAACGTTTGCGGAATGACAAAGCTGGCTTTCTAATTTCTATTCTGTTTGTTCGTTTTGCGGTACTCGCTCTCAGCCACGAAAGTGTTGGCATGGAGCGGGGAGACGAAAAGCGTTAGTTGGCTTATCGCATTGCTGGCGCTCAAGTACCGGCGGAGATGTTGAGATGTTAAGCTTAATTTGCATATTAATTGAATGTCAAAGGACATGAAGCACATTGCTGCTCCGTGCCATGTCATACAAATTGACTTTCCACTAGAGCCCAGAAACGAAGTGCTGAGCAATAAATGAAGATGGCGAGTATTGATGTCGAAGGACACTTGCAAGCCAATGCTCACGTATGCATAATTCTTTACTAATTTTTTCTTTAATCGCTTCTTTCTACTATTTTCTGTATCAAAATAATTGCGTGAATCTTATATCGTGTCCTCAATCTAATAGCAGAAAGCTGTTATACTTTTGTTATGTTTAATCCTAAACGTATATATGGATGTCTGTAAATTAATTCCCTATATATTTGTCTCTTCAGCAAAAAAAAGAACATTACAACAGCTTCATTAGATTTTAATCTAATCTAGACGTACGAAAGCGGTAGACTCAAAAAGCCATTTTCTGGTTGGCAATGCGATTAAAAATCTTGTATGATTATTTTCTGCTTATTGCTTACTTCTAATCCGTCCCCATAAAGTACTTATATTCTTAATCAGCATTAAAGAGAAATTTTAGAGCATTAGACAGAAATCGATTTAGACTTGTTTCTTGGTATATAGTTCCTAGTCTATATTATTTTACTTTTTTGATTTAATTTCTCTTTATTAAAACAGTTTTGCTCAACATGTAAGCATTTTATTTAGTTTCTCAACTCAGACTAATAATATTTCTTCAGCCCTAAGCCTAGCTGTTTTATGTTTTTTAATGTTTATAAAATGTGTTTTTTTTTTTTTGTTGTCCCCAATCATAATTGTGGATATTAATTTGAAATACTATTCTCAAGCAACCGAGATATCTACCGTTAGGGCTCAGAATTGTTAAAATAAATTCTTTAAAATAGCATTGCATACTTTCAGGCTTTCTCATTATTGCATGTCTTGTTTTTGCAAAATTAAATGGCCGTCTTCTTCGTCGTGAGAAATTGCATTCTACATTCTTGTAGTGGGTGAGTCTATTTTTGTATTTAAATGACTTTTGAAGGCTGAAATCGGTGCTGACATGTCAATAAAAATAAATGGTTTCACAGAATCTCATATGCTGAATAGTTTCCTTTCAGCTTGAGTACTGATTTCAAAAATAAATGATCAAATCTTTTAAAGAAAACTATCCTCTTTGGAAAATTGTTTGCCAAATAATTATGCATGTATATATATAACTGATTTTTTGTTAAACAAACAACTATAAGAGTCAAATTAACAACCAAAATATCATAAAAATGAGTCAATTATACCAGTTGGGTTTCACTTGTGTTTCAGTGTAAAATTTCTTAATCTGACTTCTTTGTTCATGTTTCACGTGTGTATTGTGAACTCACAAATCCAATTTTGTTAGCTTCGAAAATACAGTGCATTGAATTCGATTATTGTCTGCTTCATTATACCTTTGATCCTGCTGCAATGAATTCAGTATACCTGCCTCGTTGGGACCCGAGTCTATTGCCTTGATAGCCATAAATCAACATGAGCTGCTTTGCTCCGCTCTTGATGTCTGGTAAACATTTTCTAGTTTTCAAAAAGGCAAAAACCAAAATGTCGTAACCCGCTTATTGCCCACTTCAAAGCCACACGGCAACCACAAAACTTTACTAGACACACCACTCACACACATCCTGCAGTCACACACACACACACACACACACAAACAAGTATAGACAGTTGCCATGACGAGCACTGACATTTTGCGTCAATTACAGTTGCGTTTCACTTTTGTTTCAGCATCACACACACACACGCACACATATTCGATCGACTTACCTGAACATAAGCAGCCTACTGTTCGCATACATATGTATACGGGTATACGTATATGTTCTTTCGTACTCAAGTACACACACACACACACACACGGAAACATCATGTCCAGCAGCAGCGGCATGATGCAACGGAAATAATCAGAAGATAGCGCATATGCAGTTGTTCAGCTCGTTTCTTTCTAGTCCTGCCTTGCCTTCGACATATGCGGCTGCCATTTTCCACTTTCTCGCTTTGTAAGCTAAGCTGGAGGTAAAATAAAAGTGTTATGTCTACGTGCGTCGCATGTCCTGTCCGGCAAATTGTTCATTCGTTTTGTTCTTTCATGTGCGTGTCCATTAGAGAAGGAATAGTGACACAAGTGCGGCGATTAAGCCAAAGAATACAAATTCTCTCATTTATGTTTTTGTTTTTCTCTGAATATTGTCATCGAAAGAAAGATTCGGTTTCTATCGTTTGGATGCAAGAAAAAAAAAATCTAGAGCCTTTTTGGTGAGTACGATGCTGAGATGAAAGCATCTCTAAAAATGTTCAAGGCTATTCTTAAGTTTGAAGAATACTTGTATAATATGTAAATTAGAGTTACCAATATTGTGCTTAACAATAGCAGCTTTACGATATAATTGTCCAATTTCTATAAATATTATAAGGGCATAGTAAGATGTTTAATAGTTTAAAAAAAAAAGAATTTGCAACTAATAGTTATAATTATAATAAATGGTCATCTTTTCGATATAAAAATATAAGTTTAAGTTTTCCAACTAAAACGATATTATCTCTTCGGGTTTCTCATAGATTTTTTTCAATAAATGTCTCTTTCTTTTACTTTTGTCTTTACATTTTGTTGCACAAGAGAGACAACCGGCGGTTCTTACTGGCTAAGATATTAAATGTTTGCTTTAACTCTATATCTAAAGCGCGGTGTATTTGTAAAACTTAAACTAATGGCCATAAATAATAAATGGCAAATCATTTTTAAAAATTTACAGACTACTTTGACATTTGTTTATTTGTGAAGTACAGTGAGAACTCTCTTGCCGGACACTCACCGTCGACCAAGGGGAGTATCCGGTTAAGAGGAAACATTGAATTTTACCATTATTTGCTTACTCTATTTGTTGTTCTAGTTAGGCGATTAAAATAAATTGACTTTACAAGAAATTAAAAATCTTCAATTCACGGAATACTTTTGTCATTTGTTTATTTGCGATTAGCCCGACTAACAGAATAAGTTCAACTCACGATCTTACGCACATCTCCCGTTTTTTAGCTCACACTATCTTTCTGAGCAACTTTTGCCGCTTGGGCTGGCTTTGCATATTTGAACAATTTGCAATTTCGGACTTGGCTACTTATCCGTGCTCCAAAGCAGACACATATTCACACACACACACGCACACACTCGAGTGTTGGGCTGATTTATGTGCGTGTGTGTGTCTGTTTATACGTTCATCAGTCAGTTGGTTAGTCGTTGTCGTTCATGAAAGTTGCACATAACCATTTGCCTTTGGGCAATATACACACTTGGTTACATACAACTACAAAGCTCCAGTATTGTATTGTTAAATGCTATTTGTAGTATGTATCGTAGCTTTCTAGCGAATTCTCTTTATGCTAGCACTTGCAAAGCTCTCGCTCTCTGATTGCATAATGCAGGACACACATTGTGCAATCAAAATTTGTTTGGCCGGCACAATAACTAAGAACTTTTCTCATTTTGAATTTACATACGAGTCAGGGAATATGCTTTCAAGATACAAGT